AGGGGTGCTCCGGGGACGAGGGATGTGCTGGGATCGCGGGGTGTGCTGGGCTGAGGGATGCTCCGGGGACGAGGCACGTGTCGGGAATCGAGGGCTTTTCAGGGGCTGAGGGATGCCCTGGAGGTACTGCCCGCCTGAGTGGGAGGGAGCAGCTGGAAACAGCTGGGCTCCTTCCTCCCTCAGCCTGGCCTGGCGGTGCTTGCCCCGGGGCTGCAGCTCAGGGCCGGCCCGCAGACGGGCTGGGGCACAGACCCCAGGGGGCTCAGCCCTCCTGCTGGGACCCCCGTGCTTGCCTTTGCCAGAGGCTCAGCGGATGGGCAAGTCCCTCGGTAAGGGCAGGGAAGCTCCTTGGAGAAGGCAAGGTGGACAGTCATGTCTGCGTGATGCGGACAGATGCAGTGGCTGCCAGGGAGAGGGAAACCGAGGCAGAAGGAGGGGAGCTGCTTGTTAACCAGGGCGGCATAGGCAGGGCTGGGACTCAGGCTGTTCGGCTGCCTCTGCCCTGTCCCCTGGGGCCACCTGGCTGAGCCGCAGAGTCGCCTCTGGACCTGGGAAATCTGTGATTAATTTGCAAGGAAGCAAATAGTATTAAAAAAAAAGAGAAAAGCGCAGAATAAATGATTCCCGGCGGATATGTTGTTCAGGTTTCTGTTCACCCTACTGTGGCTGGCTCATCTCGTTTATTTGTATTAATTACAGTTTGGTAATGGCTAGGAGCTGCCATACAAAGCCGTCGCTGCAGGGGTCGGCAGAAGAGGATCTCAGTGGAGGAGGGGAGCGTGGTACCCCCTCACGTCCACTGTCACCAGGGCAAATGAGGGGCTTGGGTCTGCGCTGGCTTCTCCTCGGCAGAAAGCCAGCACAGGATTTTGAGAGCTGAGTTTGCTGTAGGGAGGCAGCGTGAGTGAGGGCTGGCTGTGTGAAGCTGAGCCTGGGGCGCCTTGTCCAGCACAGGGGAGAGGTCAGGGGGCTGTAGGCAGTGGGCACTTAGCTGCGAGGCACCATGCAGGAGTCCTCGTCCCCACTCATCGGCTCTCCCAGCACCAGGAGCTGGGAGAAGTCTCCTCCGATTACCGTTGCCATTAATGTTTACGGGGCTGCGGTGCTGGGAGGCGCAAGGCAGGATCTGGAACCCTGAGGCGAGGAGCAAATGCACACTGTGTGACAGCTCCTCTTCCAGAGACTGTCCGAGCTAAGTAGAGCTGACACCGTTGGGAGGAGGGGAACAAACTGCATCCTCTCCGCCCTCTGGGGAAACTGAGGCACCTGCGTGGCATGCCTGCGTCTGTGCCTGCATCCACGAGGAGCCTGGGGGATAGTTGGAGTGGCCGTGGAGATGGTCTTGCAGGTGACCATGAGCATGGGCTCTCAAAATGACCAGCTACAAGCCTCGGCCATACATGTTGTGCTCAGCAGGGGACTGGGGCTGAGCTAACGAGGCCCTTGGAGAGGCCGGCAAAGCCAATGCGGCAACGCAGCTCCCTGACGGGCAGGGCTGCGGGGGACGGTGCAGCCACAGCCCTCCTGCCCGCCTTGCAGCTCTGCAGGCAGCCAGCGCCGCGAGGAG